GCAGCTGGGCATCATTTCATCTCCAAATCTTAGCGCTTGAGTTACCATCAGCCCAACGACGCTGGATACAACAGATGGGATTAAAACCAACAAGCAACGTGGCTGCTTGATGCAGCTGCTGAGGCGTCTATCAGATTTATTCTTCAACCTCTGGCCAAATATCTGGGATGTGGCATGGTCCAGCAGCAGGTTCAACAACTGGATGGTTCAAGGTCTTTGCTTTAACCTCTTGAACTTGCTTAATGTCATCATTGCCGACATCAAGAAACTACCGGGCAGCACCAAGAGGAGACGGAGGAGATAATAAATGGTGAAAAGACCCCGTTGATACAGGAATGAATTAAAGATGTAGATAAAAGGTAGAAGGGAAAAATCAGTAAAGGAAAAGCCTTGTGGGCTGGTGGACAAAAATTATCACTTTTAGGTGGAAAGCCAAAGGATGGAAGGGGAATGGCAGAAGGAGAAGCGTGTCTATGAAAGCAAGGCTATGAAGAAGAAATTTGGGGTTTTACAGACAACCAGGGTCTGAAAACACAAAGAAATGGGGGAACAGAGAAAAGCAAAGGGAGATTCTCAAAGAAGAGAGCAAATTTATCATTTCGGATCGCCAACAGGAGCAGGGAGGAGGAGGAATAAGGGAAGAGAAGGGTTGGGAAAAGGCTGGCGAAGACGGACATCGCCAAGGTGGGATTTGGAGAGGAAAAAAAAAAAACCCACCACCCTCCCTGGAGGGATTAACGGCACGAGACGGGGCGGGACGGAGTTTGCTATCAAACATACGCTTTTAACGTGTTGGCAGGCAGTTCCTACCCGATGCCAAGTAAAGGCAGGTGTCGGAGACAGTTTGCGCTCCGCTTGCCCGACCGGTGGATGTCACGCCGGCGACTTTGATTTCATCGCAGGAAAAGGCAGGTCGGCGCCGCGCTGCATAATTAATCGCCGGTTTATTCCTCCCATTGAAAGAAACGACAGAAAGGAAACAGCAGTTAAGTGACATTTTATGCAGCCGAGGTATCGCCAGGCTTTAGGTAGTGGAGAGGAAAAACTGAATATATCAATGTATTTACTTTTTTTTTTTTTCTCAGGTTAACTGGGAGACGACCTGTACCAGCATAAAGTCACCCATCAAACCACACCGGCCAGAGACTGATGGGTGAGGAGCAATGGGGAAGAAAAAGCATTTAAAAACAGGCAGAAAAAAAATGGGTTTAAAATGGAAATAACTCTTTGTCTTGATGCATTGACAAACCTGCGCGGCTCAGCTCGGGGGTCCTGGACCCCATGTAGGTGCCATGTTTGTATTAACCAAATCTGCCTAATTTGAGCCCAAAATAATTGGAGGTGGGCAGCTACATTTTGGGGGGGGGCGGGGTTGAAACCTGCTCAAAGAGGGGTGCTGCCTGCAGTGGGGTGGGCAGGAGCTGGCTGGGGGCCGGGGCTGGTGGCACAACGAGCAACGCTGGGTTAATTAAGCAACGGGAGCA